GGACAATGGCAGTGCCACCCACAGCCCCGTTAATGAGCTCTCGTTTGTTCCCCAGCCTACTCTGCACCAGGCACGCCCCCTGCGAACCGTTCCTTCGTGGGATTAGGACCAAGGGATCCTGGGAGTATCTATCAGGCACAGGTGAGAGCGGGGATGCTGCTGGGGGGACCCTCCTGCCCTCACCCCGGGCACCCTCGCCATGGCATCACCGTGGGCATGGCCAGTGCTGGCATTGCCGTTGTGGCTGTCACTGATGTGACATTGCTGATGTGGGCGCCCCTGCCGTGGCATCACTGCCATGGCATCGCTGCTGAGGGCATTGCCACCGTGGCATCACTGCCATGGGCCTTGCCACCACAGCATCACCGCCGTGGCGTTGCTGCCATGTTTGTTGCTCCTGTGGGCATTGCTGCTGTGGGCACTACCGTGGGTATCGCCACTGTGGCATCGCTGCTGTGGGACATTGCTGCTGTGGATGTGACCTCTGTGGCCATCACTGCTGTGGCCTTGCCACCATGTCTGAGGCCACGAGGAGTGTCACCACAGCAGTGGCATCACCGCTGTGGGCATTGCCACCACCAGCCTGGCCACTGCAGACATTGCTGTTGTGGACGTCCCTGCCATGGCATCACTGCCGTGGGTGTTGCTACTGTGGCAATGCCACTTTGGGCACCACTGCTGTGTACGTCACCACTGTGGGGTTATTTCCATGTGCAGTGCCACCGTGGGCATCACCACCATGGCACTGCAGCTCTGGCACTGGCACTGCCAGCTTTGCTGCTGTGAGCATCACTGCCTTGGCATCACCGCTGTGGCCCATGGGCATTGCTGCTGTGATATCCTCGCTGTGGGCACCAGGTGCCAGGGCTTTAGGCACTGCTGGTGGCTCAGGGCCACCACCAGTCATAGAGAGAGGTCACTGCCGTGTTCTGGCTGTGCCCTGCCTGGCACCATGTGGCACCACCCTGCCTAGGTGCCCAGGACATCCCCAAAGGGGCAGCACCAGGGCCGTGGGTCCCTCTCAGTGTGGGCATGGGCACTGCTGTCACTCAGCTGTGCCCGTGGCCACCCCAGCTGCAGCAGGAGGTGTGTTTGCCTTTCCAGGGGCATTCCATTAGTCCTGGGTTCCAGAGCTGGCACTGCTGCTGCAGGCAGCGCCATGGTGCCAGCATGGGGTGGCAGCTCCTGGCCTCACTCGTGGCACGAGTGGTCTGGCCTGAGCAGCTGCAGTCCTGCCTGGCAGGTGACACAGGTGACAGGACAGAGGGATGGGGTGTGGACAGTGCCATGCTGGGGCGCCCTGGGGTACTGCCCTGGCTCGGGGGGTGCTCAGGGTGCTGTGCTGTGCCAGGTGGGCACTGGGGGCTGTGAGCAGTGACAGAGGGTACCTGGGGGTGCTGTGCTGTGCCAGGCTGTGAGATTTGGGAACCATGAGCTGGGACACCCGAGGGTGCTGTGCCGTTCCAGAGGAAAAACGTGGGGGACCCGGCTCTGATCACACCCCCCACCCTGCCTCAGTTTCCCCAGCCCTGCACATGGGGTGGGCAGCCCTCCAATGGCCTTGGGTCCCTAAAGAGGAGACCTGGGGCAGCACCAGGAGAGCCTTGGAACAGCATGGGCCAGAGTCCCTGTCCGGAGACGGGGTCAGAGCCCCTCGCAGCCCCAGGACCCCCAGGGTCCCTGCGAATGGGTGTCCCCAGTCATGCTCAGGGAGGCTCCCCAGGGCTCGAGGATGCTGTGCCAGGGGAAACTGAGGCACGGGGTAGGAGTTGGTGTCCCAGAGGGGCAGCTGAGACCTGCCACGCTCTGGTCATGTGTGGCGGGGCCTGGAAGGGTTAAGGGAAGCAGCGGCCCCGAGCTGTCTCGTTTCCAACGGAAACCAGACATGAGGTAATCGGGAATGAACTTGAACTTGGGGCTGGGGGGGAAACAATGGGAGGGTGGCAGGGGGGCACCTCGCGGGGTCCCCAGCCGTGCCACCCCCCTACCTGTCCCCAGGTGGCCCTGGGAGAGCCTCCCTTTGCCGTGAAGGTGCAGAGGGACCGGCCCCAGNCTGAGCCAAGGGGTTGTGTGCTGGTCCCGGGGACCAGCTCGAGCCCCTTGTCCCTCTGAGCATGAGTGGAGCCGTGGCAGGGCTCTCCAAAGCAGTGTCCTGCCCAGACCCTCGGTGTGGGCAGTGCTGTGGGAGAGGCCATGGTCTCTCCGTGTCTGTTTGTCCCACCATGGTGGTGGCTGTGCTGCCGGGAGCAGGGAGCAGCTGGCACGCGGGTGGCACTGGGACTAGGGGCAGTGTGCCTGGTGTGTGGTGTTGGACTCTTGCTGCCATGGGGGTCCTTGGCAGCGGGGATTCTGCTCTGGCTGGGAATGTGAGGTGGCACCAGAGCAGGGACTGTGTGAGGTGGCACCAGAGCAGGGACTGTGTGAGGTGGCACCAGAGCAGGGACTGTGTGAGGTGACACCAGAGCAGGGACTGTGTGTGGGTCCCCAGAGCTCTTTGCAGGTGGTACCCAGGGGTTGTCAGCACGGTGGCTGACAAATTCCTTGGTCTCCCCTGCACCTCTGGGGCCATAAGTGCCTTGGCCAGGAGGGTTTTGGGTGCTGGCCCCAACAGCCAGAGGGGAGTTGGTGTCACCCCAGCCTGTGCTGCAGTGGTGGGACACTGTGCCGTCGCCGCACTCTGTGAGGGGTTGTTCCTGTTCCCATCCTGCTGTACCCATGGGACATGGCACCCCACGTGGCTGCTGTGTCCCCACACAGTCAAGCCCTGCCTGATCGAGCCGTTGTCCCCGGGTAATGGGCCATGGCTGATTGCCAGCAGCTGGTCAGCAGGTGTGGAGATCCCATGGCATGGAGAAGCCAAAGCCTGGACAATCTGGAGGGAACAGCATGGGATGGCCTGGCTGATTATGGGGTCACAGCCTTGGGGAGGGACAGAGGAGTGCAAGTTCCTGCAGGCTCAGGGCAGGACGCGTTAGGAGGACACTGGCTGTCCCCAAATCCCCCACTCCCCTTGGCAGCACTCTGCTTCCAGCAGGGCTGAACCCAGAGGCTCAGCAGGGCTGGAGGTGCCACTGCTGGATCCCCAGCTGAGGGATGGAGGTGGCAGCAGGGTGACGTGGCCAAGTGGAACTGGACACTGCCATTGTTCTCCCCGTNAGGGCTAGAAAAAGAGAAATGGAGAGAAGGGAAGAACCCTGCACCCGTCTCCAGGGGGAGTTTCTGCTCCCTAAAATGGCTGCCTGGAGGGAGCCTGGGGTGCGGGCACGGGGGGGCTGGTGGCGGTGAGCGGCATCAGGGCAGGATGCCATGGCGCTGCCAGCGTGGTGCCAGGCTGGCACGGGATGGCTGGAGGGGATGGCGGCAGCTGGGCAGGGAGACAAAATGGCTGATTTGGCATCGGCCTTGAGCCGTCCCGGGGGTGTGGGCACAGCGTGGTGTCAGGCTGGGAGGTGGCACAGTCCCACCGCCCCCATGGATAACCTGCCTGGTGGGCAGCGCACAGGGGTGTCAGGGTGGAGGGTGGCATGGGGCCCACATTGATAACTTGCCCAGCCAGTCTGGGAGCCACATGTGAGTGCAAGGGACTTGAGGGGAGAAAAAGGAGGAGAAAAAGCAGGGAGAAAGGGAAAAATCCCAAGGCGGGCACATGGGCTGGCAGTTGCAGCTGCGTGGTTTTGTTGGTGTTTTTGGATTGTCTCAGCCCTTTCCTGACATCTGCCAAGGCTGCCAGAGAGAAATGCCGGAGGCCAAGGGGTGGGAGGAGGAGAATGGAGAAACAGAGGGAAGAAGGAGTATGGGGGAGAAATGTATGGCAAAAGTTATGGAGGGGCTTTGGGAGCAGCCAGGTGATGAAGGATGCTCCTGACTGCAGGGTCTGGGTTGTGCCATGCTGTGCCAGGGCTGCTGAGCTCAGCGTCTGAGCCAGGATACTTTTAGCCAAGAGGGAGCAGGGCTGGACAGGGCTTCAGGGGTCAGAGCAGGTGCTCTCCCAAGCCCTGCTGCCCTGCAGGAGCTGGGCAGAGGCAGGACAAGGTGCCACAGGTTGTGCCATGCTGCGATGACACTGCCTGGTGGGGCGGCACTGGGTCACGGCTGTGGCTGGAGAGAGGAGAGGAGGCAGGAGCAGGGACAGGGGAGCATCACCCAGCCCTGCCCTGGGGTTCCCACTCCTGCTCAGACCCTGCATGTGAGGCTGTCCCTGCTCCTATCACTGGCAAGGAGGGCAAGGGGGGCTGGTTGGTGGCTGTTCCTCAGTGGCTGGGGACATGCCAGCTTGGTGATGGCCCTGCTGTGTGGTGAGAGCTGCTGGGCAGCCTGTGCCTCAGTTTCCCCCAGTAGGGCAACAGGAGGGCAGTCAGCTGGTGGCACCCCTGGCTCACACCAGCCTGGAGGCTGCCCCTGGCACAGGGGGCTCACCCTGGGCTTTGCCTCTTGCAGATGCAGAGCAGAGCAGCAGCCCCCGGACAGGCATTGGCTCGGACCAGGAGGACAGCAAACCCATCACGCTGGGTGAGTGCAGAGGGCAGCACTTGGGAAAAGGACAAGGGACACCCCAGACTGTCTCCAGGGTCCCTGCCATGGCGGAGGAGGGGGGCCTATGACAAATGATCAAGCTGCCAGCCACTGCCTGGCCCCTGCAATGAGCTGGGCATAGCCTTAGCCTTGTCCTACACTCAGCAGAGTCCCACAGAGGCCACAGCCCTTGGGGACAGCAGCTGCCATAGAGCCCCCGTGGTGAGGGTGAAGCCTCAAGCCCTGCCAGCTCTCTTGGCCACAGGGAAACTGAGGCACTGAGCAGGTCCAGGGCATCTTCAGCAGACAGAACCAATTGGGGTGCTCTTGCTGGAGCAGGGAGTGGAGTGGAAGCTGAGGAGGGGGACGGATGGAATTTGGGGTGCCCTCAAGGCAGTGCAGGGTGGCAGGGGTGGTCCTGTTGCCCCCTCAGCATGCCCTCCTCTCTCCCACACAGATTCGACAGACTTCCAGGAAAGCTTCGTCACCTCGGGGGTGTTCAGTGTCACCGAGCTCATCCAGGTGTCCCGAAGTGAGTGTGACTGTGATGCCACAGCCCAGCCCTCAGCTGCCTGGGCACAGCAGTGTCCCAACAGCCCCCTCACCCTACAATGGGCTGGGGCTCCCCTCCCCACCGAGCCCCAGTGACCCCCTCTCTCTCTCCCTGCAGCGCCGGTGGTGACGGGCACAGGGCCAAACTTCTCCCTGGGGGAGCTGCAGGGCCACCTGGCCTATGACCTGAACCCCTCCAGCACCGGCATGAGGAGGACACTGCCCAGCACCTCCTCCAGCGGGTAGGTGCCACCGGGGTTGTGCCACCACAGGGTGGTGCCAGGGCCAGCCCCAGCACAGCCGTGGGGAAGGCGAGGGGCAGCCAAGTCCTGCCACGGGCTGGCACTACCCATGACAAGCTGGGAGAGCTGGGGCTGTGCAGCGTGGAGAAAACTCCAGGGAGAGCTCAGAGCTTTTTCCAGTGCTTAAAGGGGCTCCAAGAGAGTTGGAGAGGAAGCTTGGACAAAGGATGGAGTGCCAGGACAAGGGGGAATGGCTTCCCACTGCCAGAGGGCAGGGCTAGATGGGTTCACTTCCCTGGGAGGGCGGGGAGGCCTTGGCAGCTGTGTCTGCCATTGGATCCCTGGCAGTGTCCCAGGCCAGATTGGACAGGGCTTGGAGCAGCCTGGGATGATGGAAGGTGTCTCTGCTCATGGCAGGGGTGGAATGGGATGAGCTTTAAGGTTCTTTCCAACCCAGACCACTCCGTGACTCTGTGACCCTTCCCTGTCCCCAGGAGCAAACGGCACAAGTCGGGGTCCATGGAGGATGACATTGACACCAGCCCTGGGGGCGAGTACTACACCTCCTCCAACTCCCCCACCAGCAGCAGCCGCAACTGGACAGAAGACATGGAAGGGGGTAGGTGCCAGCTCCTTACCAGTGCCCTTCCTGTGCCCAGGGCCCCCATCCTGCTCCCAGCATTCTGCAAACCCCTGCCAGAACCCCGTGTGACCATCTGGGCCCTGTCTGTGCCCCAGTGTCCCTATGGGCCTTAAGGTCAGGACACACCAGCCATGGGAGCTGCAGTACCACCCTCAAATCCCCCAGAACATTCCTGCTGCTTTTCCATGGGGTCTGTGGGGTTGCTGGCAAGCCCCCCTGATTTAGGCACAGGCTTTCCATAGGTGCCCAGGTGTGTCTGTGTCCCCCCACTTTGGGCAGGGCTCTGTGGGGACTGTGGTGTTGCTACAGGGACCCCTATTTCAACACGGGTTCTCTGTGTAGGGCTGACCCAGCCTCCAGCCCCATGGCTGGTCTGGCAGCCCCACACCAGCCTCTCCCAGCCCCAGGTCAGCTCCCCCAGCCCCACATCACTGTGGACAGCTTTCTGGCTTGGCGGTTTTTTTCTCTTTCCTGTCTAGACAAGCCCCAATTAGCTGTTCATTAAGAAAGGGGGGGCTGGGCTAATTAAAGTGATGCTGCAGGGCTGGCACAGCAGCTCCCACACCCCGAGGTGCAGGCAAAGAAGCTGCTCCTCTTCCTCCTCGCTTGGCTCTTCTCCTGCCTCCCCCAGCAGTGGGGTGGGCTCCACAGCAGCCCCCCAGCCCTGCCAGAGCCTGGGGGTGCCTGGCTGGAGGGCTGGAGGCACCAATCCTGTTGGAAGGAGATTTGGGGGATGCAGCTCCAGCCCCCAAACTGTGTCCCGTGTGTTTAGGGACTGTACCCCATCCTGCCCCGTGGGGCTGGTGCAGGGGGGGGGCCTGGGGAAGGTGCAGCTCCCTCCCCAAAATGGTGCATGGAGGCAGGAGGGAGCTGTGCCAGGGCATCTGTGGCCTGACCCGGGCAGGGGTGAGGGTGGCTGGCAGGGGGGGCTCAGCCCTGGCGGCGGGGAGGGCGCTTGGCAATCCTGTACGGGATGTTCTGGGAAATCCTCCTAACGCCCGACTGAGAAAGGGCTAAACCCATTACCAGGCCCGGGCCAAATGGCCAGAGCTAAAGCCACGAAGGCAGGGGATTAACGTGCCTGCCACCCCCCCACTCAGCCCCGTGCCCTGGGGTGGCCTCGGGGACCTGGGCAGCCACTGCTGCCAGGGGGCTCTGGGGTGGTCACCCCCTTGCTGGCACCTCTCTGCCTCCCCAGGAGCTCCTGTAGCCCCCAGCCCCATGTGCCAGGGGAGGTGGGTGCCATGTGGGGGCTGCAGGGTCACAGTGGCATCCGTGAGGGCACCCACTTCTGCCACCAGGGTGGGACACACACACGCACAGAGCTGTGTGCACGCACATACACACACCTGCAGGAGCACACACCTGAGTACACACACAGGTACAGAGCTGTGCTGGTACATACACACATGCACACTCATTCATGCACACAGGTGTGCCCTCAGAGGTGCCCACCTCCTGCCAGCACACACACACGCTCACACCACCACCCTCCCCATGCCCACCCTGACCCCGGGGTGCCCCCTGCCCCCAGAATGAGCTCCCCCAACACTGCACTGAGATGGCAGCAGCCATGGGAGTCGGGGTCCTGACGTTGCACCCTGCTTTCCCCAGGCATCTCCCCCACTGTGAAGAAGACAGAGATGGACAAGTCCCCCTTCAACAGCCCATCACCCCAGGACTCCTCGCCCCGGCTGAGCAGCTTCACGCAGCACCACCGTCCCGTCATCGCTGTGCACAGTGGTGAGTGTCCTGCCAGGGACACCGAGGCACAGAGAGAGCGCTGAGGGGTCGGGGGGCTGGGGCAGCCACTAGCCAGTGACACAGCTGCGTGTCCCCTTTTGCTGTCGCCCGCAGGTATCGCCCGAAGCCCGCACCCATCGTCTGCGCTGCATTTCCCCACCACCTCCATCCTTCCCCAGACGGCCTCCACCTACTTCCCGCACACGGCCATCCGGTACCCGCCTCATCTCAACCCGCAGGACCCGCTCAAAGATCTCGTCTCGCTGGCCTGCGACCCGTCCAACCAGCAGCCCGGACCGGTAAGGACGCAGCCTTGTCCGTGGGCACCGGGGGCTGCTGCCAGCCGGGCTGCCCGACGAGAGTCCCCTGCACCGGCGCCGCCGCTGTCACCTCTGCCGCCGCACGGGGGGGTCGGGGTGTGCCGCTGGCACCGGCGGGTGTTCTGTGGGGCTGAGCTCCAGCCGTGCCGTGCGTTGGTTCGGGAGCTGCCGCGCCTGCTCCGTGTTGGCGCCCCGTGTGTGCGGCGATGGAGGTGCTGTGCCCCGGCCCAGCACGGGGCACCGCGGGCGTTGGGGTGCGGGGGCTGAGCCGTCAGCCGGTGTTGGGGTGTTGGGGGGAGCAAGGTGTGTGCCAGGGGTGTGTGACCATCTCCTGGAGTCACCGTCCGCCAGCGTGTCCTGAAGAGCGATGGGCTTGACGTGCCCCATCCACCTGCAGAGCCCATGGGTGACTTGTCAGCTCCTCTGGAGCTGTGCCCATGTCCCCAGTGTCCCCACAGAGGTGGCAGAGCCACACTGTGCTGCTGTGGGCCTTCCCTTGCCACAGTGCCCTGCACTCCCATGCACCCAGTGCACCCCACAGACATGGGACCCCACACACCCACGCTGCCATCATCCCACAGCCCACGCTCCCATCACCAAACAGCCTCTGTAACCAGCACACACACAGCACCCAGTGAGTGCAGCACCCAAACCATCACCCCATACACCCAGACCCCACAACACACAACACACCCCACACCCCAGCACCCCACACACCCCGTGAAGGGCACCCTTTATACCCAAAGCCAGAGCCTGGGGGTGTTCCTGCTCCCATACTGCCCTGTGCCCCCCTTTGTCCTCCCAAATGCAGAGCTCTTGGGGAGCCCCTCTGACTGACCTCTGCCCCCCACTTTCCTGTTCCCCCTCTCCAGCAGGGGCTGATGCCAGGCTGAGGGGCATGGCCACTGCTCCCCTGCGCGGTGACTCAGTGTTGGGCTGTTGGACACCAGATCAGGAGCAGCCCACGGCCAGGTTGGGCACGGAGCAGTGGTGCAGGAGCCTTTGGAGGCTCTGGGTGCCCCTACCCCTCGGAGGAGTGCTTCAGAGACCCCCTGTCACTGTAGAGAGGGGTCCCAGCTGCAGCGTGCGCCACTCTGGGCCATGACCCCACGGAGCGTGGCCCCCACAGCCCCCAAACCCCTCCTGTCCCGCCGTCATTTCCTGCCTGCTGCCAGCGCCGACCGTTCAGGGCTGCTCTGAGACCCACCAAACTCATGTGTGCAGTGAGGGACACCCCTGCCTGTGCCGGGGCTGTCCCCGGGGCTCCCCGGCCGTGCTGCTGTGCGCGTGCATCCTAATGGCTTGTGCTGTTTGTTTTTTGTCTGTGTTGTCCCCAGTTAAATGGAAGTGGTCAAGTGAAAGTGCCCAGCCACTACCTGCCCACGCAGATGCTGGCGCCGCCACCTCCCCCCGGCATGCCCCGCTTGGCCGTCTCTCCTGACACCAAATCCACCACGACAACTTCCGAGGGAGGG